AAGGTAGTTTATCCAAGCAAAGAAAATCACGCTCAGCATCCAACTATACAATCCACTCTCACGGTTTCTACCCTGAAGTTAAGAGGACGTCTCTGGAACCACCACTGTTTTCAGACTTTTCTCCATCAGAAGAGGGAAACTCCAGATTTCTGCTGGTGGACCTCAGATTTAATCAATACAGACCTGAGGGCCGTGCGCTCTTCTTCATGTTACCCTGTTCTGTCTTACCTATCACCTCCAGCTTTGAATTTTGGGCATCTCAAGCTAATATAAACGCTGGCAGCTACATCCCCATTTGGTTCCCCTCAGGCTTGGCCATGTGTTTCTACTCGTGTCTCTGCAGCAGCTTTGAACTATTTCAGCGTGCTAAATCATCGAGAAACTATCTCGGGCGAAGTGCGCAGCTTCCTGCCAGCTTTGTGCTCCGAACCGGTTCAGTGTAAGGTCAGACAAGCTCACAGCCTGAACACAGGGCAAGAGAGGCAGCAGGGCAATTTTTGCGGCTGAAGTGCCTTAGCCTGCCACAGAACTGGATCATCAGACTTTTCAGGACTTGAGATCTTGACGGGCAACTTGCTACGCTTTCAGTGTCAATAAGGTATTTGAACCACGTATATTTATGATCCATACACATACCTGGAGCAACATCTGAGCAAAAAATATCAATTAAAAATATATATTAAAAAAATGAATGTAAATTGGCAACTAGTTGAATTTCAGGTAGGACTGAAGTGCTCTTATACGTTCCCCCAGATGACTGCTCTACATATGCTATTCACTAGGGCCACTGGATACAGGCAGAAATTTTTGGAGAGATGCTAACAAAGCTTTAACTTCTGGCAGCTGACCCTCCCGTTTTCTTTTCACTCCTCACACCTCCTTAGGTAGACAGCACAAAGTCTGGTAGCTTCTATTTGGCTGCCCAACATCAGCTTCTTTGCATAACTGGAAAAATCAGTGTCTGTATGTCTTATTTTGTAGGGAATTATTAAACTGCCTTTAAACAAAAGAAGTGCTGTTCACATAATGGCAGCTTTGACCAACATTCTGAAGTTCAATTAAAAGGAAACAAAAGGATGCCTCAGTTTTGGCAGCTTCCAATTTCTTTACTAATTGTCAACTTTGGTATTTCAAGTTTTTCAAAA